CACCAGCCATGCTTTGCAGAGTGTTGTCCTTATGGAGGCCACTTGTCTGTGGGCAGAAAGCATGGTGGCCCCATGTCTTCAGCGAGGAGCCTCGCCCCAGGGCCCACCCTGGTTGGAATCCGAAGGTCCATCCACACCCGCAGCCCACCCTTGTCTTGCTGCCAGCCACATAGGCCTGCAGGCTCCGGGCTGGTCCCCCCGGGGACTCCAGGGCTGGCAGGGAGGGGGAGGGGCAGGAGCATGGACACAATGACCTCGGTCAGACTCAGTGCCATTCTTGGCTCTGCCACGTGTGGCTGTGCTGCGCAGGCAAGCCCCTTCACGCCCTGAATCTCAGACCTCCGTAAACTAGCATCTCCCCCACGGGGCCGCTGGGAGCATGCCAGGTCCCCCAAACATCCCCGCTCCTCCCCCTGCTCCCTCCCAAAGGCCTGCAGTGAGCAATCCAGAAACCAAGGAGTGAAGCGATTTCCTACATCCCTGGAACTCGCGTCAGAAGTGTGCTGTTTGGGGGCTCCTGGGTGGCTCAATTGGTTAAGCATCTGACTCTTGATCTTGGCTCAGGTCTTCGTCTCAAGGGCATGGTGAGTTCAAGGCCAGCGCTGGGCTCTGCACTGGGTGTGAAGCTTACTTACAAAAACAAAAAAAGAAGCATGCTGTTTTGTGTGTCTTTATATGGCCTGCATGATAATGGCAATGACCAGCATTTGTTAAGTATGTAATAGCTCTAGGAACATTTCTGAGTGGTTTATAGACCACAGCTATTATGGACCAGAGCCAGGACTTGAACCCAGACTATCTGACTGCATGGCCGTGCTAACCACTCCAGATTTCGTTCTGGACGTTCAGTATAAACCTTTGTGTATTAGATGGTGAGATGCCAGGGGTCCTTCTGCAGGAGCTGGGAGCCGGCTCAGGCCCAGGCCTGAGTGGGTTTCAACACACTCATCCATTCGTTCTCTCATTCATTCATTCATTCAACAAGTATCTGTCAAGAACCTTTGATATGCCAGGCACTGTTCTAGAAGCTGGGGATACAGCAGTGGAAAAGGGAGAAAAGACCCTTGTTCCCATGGAGACTATATTCCAGTGGGGATCCAGACACGAAACAAAGACAAAAAGGCACGTGCAGGAAAAATACCAGCCAGTAATTCATGCAAAGAACTAAAATAGGGTTATATGGCCAGCAGTGACTGGTTGCCCACAACTTTCTTTTTCATATATATATATATTATTTAAATATTTATTCATTTTTGAGAGAGAGAAAGAGACAGAGTGTGAGCAGGGGAGGGGCAGAGAGAGAGGGAGACACAATCAGAAGCAGGCTCCAGGCTCTGAGCTGTCAGTACAGAGCCCGACACGGGGCTCGAACCCACAAATTGTGAGATCATGACCTGAGCCGAAGTGGGACGCTTCACCAACTGAGCCACCCAGGCGCCCCTGCTAACAACTTTCTAAGGAGTTGACATATTAACCAAGACCCAAATGATAAGAGAAAACCAGCCACCTGAACATCAGGGGGAAGAGCATGTAGACAAAGGGAACAGCAAATGCTGGGGAAGAGCCAGGGGCATCGGGCGTGTTTGGGGAACAGAGGGAAGCCCAGTGTAGCTGGAGTATCAGTCAGTGAAGGGAGACAGTGAGGAAGGGGCCACATTGCAGAAGCTTCACCAGCCAGAGGAAGGAGTTTTGTTATTTTTCATTTTTTATGTTTTTCAAAATATGATAGAAGCAGTTGGAGAATTTTAAATAGGGAAATGGCACAATCTGACTTTTTAAGAACAATTTTTTTAACATTTATTTATTTTTGAGAGACAGAGACAAACAGAGCACGAGCGGGGGAGGGGAAGAAAGGGAGACATCGAATCCAAAGCAAAGCTCTAGGCTCCAGGCTCTGAGCTGTCAGCATAGAGCCTGGTACGGAGCTCAAACCCACGAACTGTGAGATTGTGACTGGAGCTGAAGTCAGCGCTTAACCAACTGAGCCACCCAGGCACCCTGCCATCTGACTTTTTTAAATTAATGGGCTTTATTATTTTTTTACGTGTATTTATTTTGAGACAGAGACAGCACAAGCAGGGGAGGGAACAAGAGAGAAGGAGAGAGAGAATCCCAAGCAAGCTCCACGCTGCCAGCTGCAAAGTCCAATGCAGGGCTCGAACCCACAAACCATGAGCTCATGACCTGAGCAGAGATCATAGTTGGACACATAACCGACTGCACCACCCAGGCACCCCTAGGTTTAGAGTCATTTTTAAAAAATTAAAGGGAAAGTACCGAGAATTCCCATATATCCTCATACCCTCAACACACACACACACACACACACACACACACACACAATTTCCCCTATTATTAACATCACGCATTAGTGTGATACATTTGATACAATTAATGAGCCAATAATTATCCATTAATTAAACTCCACAGTTTACAATACTCTGTGTTGTACAAGTATGTAATGAATGACATCTTTCCACCTTTACAGTATCATATAGAACAACTTCACCGCCCTCCCAGAAATCACCTGTGCTCCACCCATCCATCCTCCCCTCCCCAGGAAAACCCTGGAAACCACTGATCTTTTTACCGTCTCCATAGTTCTATCTTCCAGAATGTCATGTAGTTGGAATCATACAGTATGCAGCCTTTTCAGACTGGCCTCTTTCACTTGATCTGACTTTTTAAAAGATCACGTTGGCTGGTTTGTAGAGAACAGATTGGAAGGAGACAATGTCGCAGCAGGTGGGGCCAGTCAGAAGGCGAAGCACTTGTCGGCAGGGCTCAGACAAGCCGGTGGCCAGGCTGGTGGGGAGAAGTGGATGGCCTCGGACACCTGTCCTGGGCTCTTGCATCTGCAGATAGAGTGGCTGCAGAGGAAGGTAGGGGAAGGAAAAAGCTGACAGTTACACCACAGGGTGAAACAGATCCAGAGAGAGCAGTAGTGTCAAGTTCTCATATATACCGCTGTGATTTTTTTTTAGCTCACTGAAGTAAATAAGGATTTTTCTCCTAGAATTGAAGAAACAGATCCAGAAAGATCTCTGTGCATGCTTAGGATCACCCAGAAACCAGGTTTCCCTTGGATGGCAGGACTCCAGCCTCCTTGTCCAGAACTCTGCCATCCCGATCCCTCTAGTGTCTCTGTTAAGTATTTTCTCTTCTCTGGTGGTCGTTTTGTTACAAAATCGATAAACCACTAACAGAAGTAAAAGGCTTCCAGATTTATTACTGCTGAGCCCCTGCCTGGAAAACCTTCCCCTTTGCCCTCCTTAAAACCCTCCTGGCTTCTCACCCGGGGGAGAATACCCACTTGGAATTGAATCTCAGCAAAACTGCTTGTTAACTTATCCTGACCCCTGAATTACTTCAGCTTATTTTGGTCTCAGGACCTAAATACCCTAAGTCAAAAACAAAAACAAAGTGAAGGTAGGGGGATTGATGGATTTCTTGGGAGGCTACGGAGGCACATCACAGATCGAAGGCCGAGGGGTTGAATAAACAATCAATACGAAGGACAGGTCCAGGGTCCTTCTGGGGACAGGGCTACAGTGCCCAGATCCTGAGTCTCTGGACTGCATTCACCATCCTAGAAGACACTGGATGGTGCCAGCTTGGGTCTGGAGTGCACTCGCCGCTGCTCAGAGCTATCAGATCTTGGGGAGGGAGCTCAGTGTCAGACAAAATCTTCACAGGGGACGGAGCTGCTAACACCCCACCGGACAGCGCTGGCCATCTGTCCCCAGTCATCCCATAACTCAATCCCAGCACATCTCTGACTGTCTGTCAATCATCTCTGGCCATGCATTTCCCTTTCAGTGGACAGTGGTTTCTTCAAGGATGTGGCCTCCACTACTTAGCTTGGCATGCTGCAAAAGAGGTCCTCCAGTTGCCATCCTCCCTTCTTCTACATTAGCTTGGATTTTTAGGGAGGCTCGTGGCCTCCCAAAGTAATGACATGTCCCAGTTTGCTTTGCAGCTTGGGGTGGCCAAGAGACAAAGTTCTGACTAATGCATAAGAGCGGGTATGGTATGAGGGGCGCCTGGGTGGCTCAGTTTGTTAAGCTTCCGACTCTAGGTTTCGGCTCAGGTCATAATCTCATAGTTTGTGGGTTCGAGCCCCACATAGGGCTTTGCACTGACAGCATGGAGCCTGCTTGGGATTCTCTCTCCCTCCCTCTCGCTGCCCCTCCCCCACTCTCTTTCTCTTTCAAAATAAACAAATAAATTATAATTAGAGGAAGAAGAGAAAAAAGAATGGGGATGGTATGAGCCACTGCCAGTCATAGGTTTCCTGGGAAGGGGCACGCCCCCCATCCCCCCTCCTGCTGGATGGACGGTGAACGGGCTGATATGTCATCGGACCACATGGAAAAGAACAACTCCCTGGGAATGGAGTCACCAGAGAGATCGGGGCCCCTGGCACCCTGAAGCTGTCACATCAGCTTTCAATTCCCTCCCCGCAGAATATTCTGAAAGACAATAAAACCTCTTTTCTCTGTAAGTCCTCCTGCTAAGATAGCCCTAATACATTCTAATACACACTAATAACCATGCTTCACATGGGGACTGACACTTAAGAAAGTGCTCACTAAATTATGGTCGACTTATGAAATCAATTGCAAAAATAAGAAATCCTCGATTCCAGCATTTAACACATCACCTGTTTGCATGTTCTCTTTCAACTCTTCTCTACATGCAGGTGATGGTTTTAGTAGAGGTGTAATTAGAGCAGAAATAGAATTTTGTACCAGGCTTTTCCTTTTAACCGTAATGGCAAGTAAACATTTTCCATGTTAAGTCAGATTATCATTGTTTTTAAATGGGTGTGTCATTTTCCACCAAAGAGATCAACCATAACTTATTAAATCACTCCCTTATTGTTTGAAACATACATTTTTTCTATTTTCCTTTTGTAATTACTGATAATGTTGCAAGGAAGCTGCTTATGACTCTAGTTTTTTGCCCCTTATTTTTGACAGATTTCTTGTCTTTTCTAGTATCATGGAATACCCTCGACCTTCACTGGCCACTCTCAAGCTTTATCATTTCCAGTTCGATTCTGATGATGGTCGCGATGAGATGCATAATTATATTGGCAACAGGTGCATTACTGCCCACTGCTTACATCACTGTGCCATCCTGGGCACCGGTCCCAGCTCTGTAACTGCATGTCTATATATACTTCATCTCATACTTGCCACATGCCAGGGAAGGCGGCAAAAAGCACAAACCCCAGAGTTAGCCTGGATTCAAGTCTTGACAAGATTGTTTCCTGTGGGACGGCGAGGAAACTACCTAACCTCTCTGTGCCTCCGTCTCCTCATCTACAAAATGGGAATAGTAACACTCTCTGCACGGGGTTGCTGTGGGCATCAGGTAAGAGAACAATTCCAGCTGGCATTTCTCGAGCACGCACAGGGTGCCAAGTGCAAGGCTTTGTGGTAATGACCTCATTTGTTCCTTGCCAGAGCATAGGAGATAAATGCCTCCACCCCAGTTTTGCAGATAAGGCACCTGAAGCTCAGAGCACAGACTTGCTGCACAGAGCTGAGTGATTCTCACACACAGCACTCGTTGGCCCCAAATCCCCAAGTTCCTTCCAAAAGGAGTCTTCTTTTCACGGTGCTTACAGAGCCAGAGCCAGCGCCCCTAAAGCCCAGCTTCGGCAGCACAATCTCTCCCTCCACCTGCCCCCCACCTCATCCCACAACGCACAGCCTTCTTTTCAAACGTGTGGAGCAATCGACTGTCCTTCCTGCGGCTACCACTGCAGCATGGAATACCCCAGAAGCCCACTTAGGAACTAGAACTGTTTGTCAAGTACTTCCTTTGGCCGGACCTTCTGCTTGGTGTTTAATGTCATCATCTCATTTAATCCTCAAAACGGTCCTAGGGCATAAGCACCGTTGCCCCTTGCAATGCAGGTCAAAAAATGATTCAGACAGGCAGAGAAGTGCTGGGATTGAGTTATGGGATTACTGGGAACACCATGCTTTACAGGTGGGGAGACCCAAGCCCGGGATGGTAAAGCAAATGGCCCGGGCTCACAGGGCTACTGGATTTAAGAGAGTCGCAGCCAGGCCTGGCGTCTTGCTGTCCTCACCCACCGTCCTCTCCTGGAATGGTGGCTTCCAGGGGCGGGGAAGGTCCTGCTGCGATGGCCCCAGGTTGCCACTGCCGACCCCAGAGCAGCCCTGTAGAGGGCACCAGTGCAGCACCCCCTCAGGGTCTGCCTGGCCTCTCAGGGCCTGAGGCACAAAGGCAGGGACCAGATCCAAGATGGTTGTTGGACGAGCTCTCTGCGCCGCCCCTGAAATAGCCCAGTTCTGCAGCTTCTGCTTCGGGAGGCGGCAGGCAGCTCCCGGAATAGCTCTTTCCTCCTGCAAGGTGACCTAGTTAGCTGGTTCCTCTTGTCATGTGAGGTTGGCTGAGCAAGCCATTCACCTGCCTCCCTCTACACAGAAGAGGCTCAGTCCAGCGCTTCCCTGTCCAATGTCCCCCAGAGCAGCCCCGGCCCCTCCCCCTGGGCCCCCATCCTGGAAGTCTGGGGAGTGGGTAGTAACACACTGAGCACGGCGCTTCGTGGCCTCAAAACCCGTTCACGAACATCATCGTGCTTCCTTCTCGCCGCAGGCCCAAAGGGAGGACTTACCATCACCCCATGTCGCAGGAGAGGAACTAAACACACAGAGAAGGTAACAACATGAGCAAGGACACACAGCTGGCAGGAGGCAGAGCCGGGATGGGCCCGGCACCAAGACCTGAGCATCCGGGTCGCAGTCTCCTCTCCGAGGAGCCCCAGTAACTACACCTGCCTCCCCGCCCCCACCCCGTCTACTGCCTGTGATGGGCTCCCGGACACCTATGGCAAGTGGGCTGCAGATCAAGGTCTTCGAGGTCCACCGACTGGGGTTGGAGCTGTGGTGTGAGCTTCGGCATTTATAAGCTCTGTGACATCAGGCTAGTTGCTTTCCCTCTCTGAGACTCAGGTCCTGTATCTGTAAGATGAGAATAATAATCACACCCGCATGCCGGGGTTGTTGTGAGGATTCAACGAGATAGTGTGTGTAAAGTGGCCAGCAGACCCCCTGCATTTTGCCTTGATTAAAGTACCTATTGTTATTAGTTATTATTATTGACATCTTTTTTTAAGTTTATTTATTTTGAGAGAAGAGTGAGAGAGCTGGGGAGGGGCAGAGAGAGAGAGAGAGAGGAAGAGAGAGAATCCCAAGCAGGTTCCAGAGTCCGACGAAAGGCTCGATCCCACAAATCTCAAGATCACGACCTGAGCCGAAACCAAGAGTCTGACGCTCAACCGACTGAGCCACCCAGGCACCCTAGCATCTTGAATTTAACCAAAAAAGGAAAAATGTAAGATTGGCTAGTGCCAGTGAAGAGTATAGCAAAGGACTGTATGATTTTTCCCACACCATCATGCCTGGGAGAAATAGTTGGATTTATGGTAACACAACCCTAGGACGTCGCAACGTTTCCAAAGCCAGGGGCCCTGGTTCTCCAGATGACTGAGTGGCCCTGGGTGAGGCTGTTGGTTAGAGCGAGGTCTTTCCCTGACTCGGGGGATGGAGAAGTGGTGGCAGGGTCCATCCTTGGATGCCCCTGTCCCAGGCTGTCACCTGTGGGTGTGCTCATTACACCGAGAGTGGCATATCACACTGACAAGGAATGCAGACAAGGAAGGGCAGGGAGCCTGCCCAGTGGCCCCTGGGAGCAGAGAGTCCCTGTGGAAGAGAAGCTGGGGAAGGACATCAGGGTCGGCCTGGGGGGACCTGAATACCGTAACCAAGTTACCCAAGGAGAGGAGCCACTTTGGGCCGCTAAGAATGGAGCTGGACTTGTGGGGTCAGAGACTGTCCCTTCAAATCCTGCTTACCCCCCCCCCTTAAATGTGAGGTCACAGATCAGTTGCTGAACCTCGCGGAGCCTCGCTTTACCCATCTGTAAAGACTGGGCAAGATATGAACCTCTTGGGGATGGGAGGGGTGGTGGCAGGGATTGGGTGAGTCTGCGTGTAGCACCGCCCCGTCGGCGGTGCCGAGGAAATGTTTGAGAATCTGAACTTGATACGTCTAGGCACTTAAGCCCCAAGACGTAAGCCCCTTCCTGGTAATCCGGAAGGATTGATAACTGCGCTCCGGAGGAAACATGCGAGGCTTTGGAATGATGGCGAGACTGGCATCGCTTCCCGAAATCCGGGTGCGACAGAGGCAGATGAAGATGCTTGGGGAGGGCGTTTCAGTGGGACAGAGCCCAGAGGTGGGACCGCACACGACACTCTGGCAGAACATCAGCTTCCCATTGCGCCCTGAGGAAAATTCAAACTCTTCCTTGCAGTGGCCATTCCTCAGGGACCCCCGCCCCCACACCTTCCGCCACCGCCCCTGCCCCTCCTCAGCAGCTGCCTCCTGGCTACACACCCTCTGTCATCACTCCCCATCCCCTTACCCTGCGTGCTTTTCCCCGGAGCACTTATCCCACTGTTCCATGCTGTATTATTCAGTCATCTGCACACCAATTTATGATCCGTCCACCCAAAGAGACTTGTAAGAGCTTTGACAGAGAGGGCCCAGTCTGCCTGTTCCCTGGAACAGCCCCGGCCCCATGGAGCAATGGCAGAGCTCAGTCGGGGCTCAGTAAATAGCGCTGAGTGGGTGGATGAATGAGCAGCGGAGAGTCCAGGCAGGCAGAAGGAGAGGACCCCTGGGGCGCAGTTGGGTAGGTTGAGGCCAGCCTGGGGAGGGCTGTGAAGCCCAGGCTGAGAAGTTGGGGTGACTTCTCAAGGAGAATCAGCAGAGCCTGTGACCAACCAGGTGTGGGGCTGGTCAGGTTTCCAGCCTGGGTGATTGGTGGTGTGGCGGGAGAGGTATCACCGACAGAAGTCACTTCATTTGTTTTTGGAGACTCTGATGTGTCTCTCTGAGGCCAAGCTCCAGCGGGCACAGGGGCACAGAGAGGAACGGCATGCCTGATCCTCTTGACAAGCTTCCCGTTCTAGTGGGGATTCGTGGAACAACAAGCATGCGACCAAGACCTTGAAAGGTGGGGAGGGTTTGAACGCTGAGAGATCTGGGACTGGACCCCACACCCCTCCCCCCCCCACCACCAAGTAATGACAGGGTGGCAGGAAAGGGTGGAGGGAGCTCGGGAAATGACAGAGAGGAGAGAGAAGAGAGGGCAGGGGATGCGGGCCTCCTCGGGGACCTGGGTGGAATTCTATCCTTTGCTTCCCTCTGGAGTCCCTGCAGGAGGAGCCGTGGCGGAGCTGCTTCCTACCTGAATGCCTCTCCCGTGGGCAAGGACGCACAGAAGGAGGGGGAAGTGCTCGACAAAGGGGCATTCTTCCAGCCACGCAGAATCAATGGAGGTTTGTTCGCCTGCTGTCTGGGGAGTCGCCAGGCAGGCTGGCAAGGGGACCTGGACAGCAGGGTGGGAGCGGGGAGCGCTGTTCTGGCCCCAGAGTGGCCACACCCAAGTCTTCCAGCAGCTTCAAAACAAACAAACAAACAAAAAAACAAAAAAACAACAACCGGGGTACGTTGAGGGTGGGCGTGCGTGCTTCCGGAGGACATCCAGGCCCATCTTCACCTGCAGGGGGTGCCCTTGGACTTTCCCACAGTCACTGGGTGAATTTGCCCAAGGGCCTCGATTATCCAGAGCAGCAGCAACATGGCTTCATGAAGCAGAAGACATGAGCCCAAATCCCAGCTCTGTGATCTCTCTCAGCCTCAGTTTCCTTATCTGAAAGATGGGACTAATAACACCCTCATCACAGGTAGGAATTACTGGGTGGATCCAAAGAGACGGTGATCAAAGTGCTTTGGAAACTGCATGGTGTCTGCACAGGTTAGGGAGGATGCCGAAGGACCGTGGTCGGTGGAGGACTCGGCAGAGGGGGTGTGAGCCTCAGCCCAGTGGAAGGGCCAGGCCCACGCAGACATGCCCCGCTGAATGCTCACTGCTTCGGGAAAAGACAGCAGCAGACAACCCACCTCTCTAGCCCCGTCATGTCTCCTTGAGCCACCAGCACGCATCCCATCTCTGATCGCTACTCCTTCTCTTCTACGCTTACCATTTATTTCAGACTGAATTTTCATAGGTTAGAAAGAAAGGCTACAGCCACTGCTGTGGAGAGCTCACTGTTTCAAGCACTGAGCCACCTGAGCCCAAAGGATCCCCATAGCAGCCTTATAAGCTGGGTCTAGTCACCATCCCCATTGTACAGATGAGGAAACCAAGGCTCAGAGTCGCAAATGAGCTTGGGTGATGTCCAACTAGAGAGTGTGTAAAACACACATCTTCAGACTCCCAGGCCAACGAATGCAGCTCCTCCCCAGCCTAAACGTTGCCCCTCACACCCTCCCACCTGCCACGTCCAGGGAGAGGGCCAGGCTCCCTCCCCGAGGCAGCCCATTTCACTGTCAGGGCACGAAAATCCACCCCTAGAGAGTAGCCTTGGCTCAGACTTGGGGTGCGACACCGGAGGGATGTGGCGACAGGAAGAGGGGGAAGGTCTCTGGCACGGGCCAGCGGGGTCCACGGAAGGTGCTGGGAGGGTGAGCCGAAGGTGGCCAAGGTGACCTTTACCTGGACCTCTACTTGCTACAGATGCGCCTGTCCAGGTGGCCTCCTCTACTGCCTTGCCAGAGGATGGGGCCCCTCTGAGGACCCCAAAACGAGACAGGAGGACATGAGGCTGGGTTCACCACGCTGACGAGCCTTGCTTTAACTCACGTCTGCTTTTCACCAAAGCCTTGAGAAGAAGACAGGAGACGGAGCCTCCCCCTCCTTTTACAAATGAAGACCCTGAGGCTGGGGAACGAGGTGGCATGCCCAAGAGCATTCGTCTGTCCAACATTGGCCGACACCCGATCAGCGCCACTCCTGGGACACGGCTGCATGTGGCCCAACCCGGGGCTGAAGCCAGGCCACCAGACCAGAGCCCGGAGCTTGCCCCGCGGAAGCAGATGATCTCTTAATCCTCCAGCCTTGCCTCTGTCACCACTGTCTCCCAATGCTGGAGACTGAGTTCATGTTTGATGACCTGGGGAGGGGAAAATGGCATCTGTGTTTACTAATGTCAGAAGGGATAGAAAAATCATCTCTGCAAGAGAGGACGAGTATTTCTTTACAGCCGCCCCAACCTCGACTAAGGAGAGAAAACGCCGAGGCTCCTAGAGACGGGCTTCTGTTGGGCGGGAGGGGTGATGTTTGCACAGGGGGATGGGCCGGGCCATCTTACATTGCTCTGCCCAGGACAGGGGGGCGGTGGGAAGACAGGGACCAGGGAGTTGGGGGCAGGCAGGGCTGACAGGGCAACAGGAGACGGGGAGCCAGCAGCCAAGAAGGAAATTCTGGGTAGGAAGGAGGAGTCTGATCAGCATCTGTGTAAATTGTGCTCTGTTAGGCACAATGCCAGCCTGTGTCCCCTCTTCTTTTTTTTTATTTTTTAATGTTTTATTTATTTCTGAGAGAGAGAGAGAGAGAGAGAGGCAGTGTGAACAGGGGAGGGGCAGAGAGAGAGGTAGATACAGAACCTGAAACAGGCTCCAGGCTCTGAGCTGTCAGCACAGAGCCCGACGCGGGGCTCGAACCCACGAACTGTTAGATCATGACCTGAGCCGAAGTCGGACGCTTAACCAACTGAGCCACCCAGGAGCCCCATGTGTCCCCTCTTCTGATAAGATCTTCAGTGACACTGGCTCTGCCTTCATGGGGTACCTGGATTGGCTTTGGGGGTCTTGGCTAAGCCGCTAGGCCCTCCTCAAGGGTAAGTGCGAGTTGCCAACAGAGGCTGCTCCCATGGGGCTCTCAAAACTGATCTCCATCTCCAGGTAATTGAAAAATGATTCAGTACGAAGCCGAAGAGAAAGACCTTTTGTCTCGCAACACAATGAATAATGGAAGTCCCGTTGTGTCGCATGAGTGATGGTCCAATGTGATACTCCCCGTCCACAAGACTGGAGCTTTTTGGTGGCAGGTTATTTTTTCCTCCTGGACCTGTTTTTTCTGGCTTCAGCCTCATCACCATGAGAGGCACCTCTCTCTGCTGACTCCCAACGACAG